GTTTTGCATGCGCTTCATTGCAGCATGGCCCAAAACATACCTGAGAAGGAATAGGTAGGCAAATGTCATTAAGTGCGGCGAGTGTCCTCATCAGAATCACCGAGTCACATGAACATGTCACAGAATGATAAAACTCTGACATCTTATTTATTAGGTAGCGAAACATTTGCACACATACCAGTACGATGATAAGTCTCTTAAAACGTTCGCCTCACTTTATATGAAATGTCAACTGACATATTCCCCTTTCAGAAAGTCAAAAGAGTTAAACACTCGCCAGCTTGCTCACTGAACGTTGCGAAGTGAAGGTCATTAAATGCTTACAGTCAAAATGTACCACGCTCTCAGCAAGCTCAGACTTTGCTGTTTGCATGTCCATTGTCTGCTTGTTGTTTAATTTTAGAAAAATGTTGGCGGGTATATGAGTTTGACAATTACCGGTATGCATTTCAAGCAGCAGAGCATTTACTTAACACAAGGAATACAAAAACGATCAAGCTTTCCTTTGGTGAAATGAGGACGTCCCTCAGGCAGTTGAAGATTATACTGACTCAGGTAAAATAAGCATAACTATTCTACTCTGAAAGAGAGAAAGAAGACTTACAGTTGTCTGGAGTACAGGCCTTCATCAATCTCAGCGTCATTGCCGTTCTTAGCCATGCCCTGCCCAGGCAGTACCAGATAGGACAGTGAAAATACTGAACTGTTAATTGTTGACGAGCATTTGCAGCAAGTGTGCTTACGTTGGCAGGTGTGTGGGACAGATCAGTTCTGACAGAGTTTGAGGAGGAGCAGTGGGATCCCGTCTTCGTCTCTGTTCCTGACAAGCGACGTTTCTTGGACAGCGGCGAGCTGGACATCTACAGGTCAGTGGAAACTGAATTTAGATCTTCAAGGCAGGACAATCAGCACAGAATAAATGGCAACTACATGACAGACAAGGTGGACCCATCTAAATGGGATAGAATCCTAGTCAATTTGGTAAGAAGGGATTTGTCATCCGGAGAGCAGCTGGGCTGGCTTTGAGCCAACAACAAATCTGCTAGACAACACAGCGAACCCAGGAAGAGCTATGAATAGCAGCATTATGTGCTGCTCTCAAACAGGCACAGGTCTCCCTTGTTGGTAGCGCTCTATTGTGTTCGACACCTGGATTTGGACAAGGAACCGTTTGAACAAAAAACGCTGAATCATTCAACTTGACCGCGGTTAAGGCTTGACAATGACTGGCAGGTGTGGCCACAAGAATGTACCATTCACAAACCGAAAGGTCGCGTCACTTCAGGCGAGTGACCAGTTAAAACACGCCCCAGTCGGCGAGGCGACAAATAGGCCGCAGGGTCTCGGAATCATCCCTACCATGTAACGAACGCCATCAGTGTCGGTTTACCGTGAAAAGCAGTTTCTGGAACCCTCGAACGATCCGGAAAAGCAGCAGCCAGTTGGCGTACAGGAAAAAATTCACAGTTCGGCTGAGCATAACAGTGGATGTCGGGTGAAAATGAAAGTGTTCCCGCACGGTCCACGACTACACGGCTCCCTGACGCTTGGCTCATTTGCCCAACGCGATAAAAGCTAGCGAGGAAGCCACTTCAAAGGCTTTAATACAACGCCCCAGAAAGCGCGTCAGGTCTTCGTGAAGGCCAGCGAGAAGCGGCCGGCTGCGTGCCACTAATCGGTTAAGTCCTTAGGCGAGCGGACCGGGTGGCAACATGAATAAGTTAGGAGGCAAAGCCCAACGCTATTAGCACGACAGTCTAGGCCGATATAGGCCTCGGTTTGGTCGCTCGGCCACCATTCACAACCTTACCGGCTCGCTAACCAACGACCAGCAAGCGCGGATCTTCCCGGAAGCTTCCTGATTACATCTCGGGCAGCCGATTTGGCTGTATGCTATAAAGGTAGAGGACTTACAACATGAGCACGACCGGTTTGCGCTAACTTGGCTCCACTCGCGTCCCATTGATTTCTCCTTTCTTACCAATAATCCTTCCCGGGGCCTTTCCGATGCGAACCCGCGCCCCTTCCGTTGCGTTCAGATGTCAGCGGTTGGATATTTGTCGACGGACGGAAAAAAGAGGGGAGGAAGCTTGGTAAAATGGTCGGCCTGCTCGCGCTATATTGTCGAGTCACTATGTGGTTGCAACGCGAAAGCTCCCCTCTGCAATAGCTGTTGGCTGGCTGGCTTTACGACTGCAGACGGGAACAAAACCAAAATGGCAGATGGGGAGAAGGGGCGGGGGAGGCGTGACGCGCGGCCCGAAATATTCCACAGGAAAGGTTGGCTCGGGCCACGCTGCTCAGCACGCAGACGTGCCATTGGCTGCGCGCACTCACTGGCCCCGCCTCTCGTGACACGGACGCATGGTAAGTAGTACTTGCACGTACTGTATAGTACAATTAAATGCAGCCTCTACTAGTCAAGCCACTCACGGTCAAGTATCCCCCCCAAGGGGTTGATAATTAGCAATTGAGTAAAGTGAAGAGAAGTCGAGCCTTAAATTCACACCATCGTTGTTTTCGGCAAATTACCTCAATGTGGACAATTATTTTAAAAAAACAAATTTGTCCCTATGTGCTGCTACAGTGTCTGCATATTTAATCCGATGACAAAAACTTGCAACAGTTTCAAGCAAATTGTGCACATCGAGTGTGTGCCACAAAAAATGTCTTAGCGATGCTGAGCCTTCTGAGCCATCGGCCAAATAGAGGTTAAGGGTGAGGAGTGTTCATATCTGAAGAAGAAGGGTATTGGGGGAGGGGGTGCCTGCCTGCTGAATCACAAAGGCTCACGAACGCGTGGGCCGCACATTCTTGGGTACACATGTCGACGCGGGTGTCACTCGCAACATGATTTTAAAATAATTTGGAGGATGCCGTCGCAGTGCTAAAAAATCTTAGTCAAATGTCACACAGGCAGCATAACTTGGCAAGCTCGAGAAGATGCTCAGCATTCAATGGCCGGTAACGTCGATCGCATTTCGAGTCACGTCGTAGCGTGCTAATCTAACGTTTGCCTCGCAATCGAAGCCATCCCCATGAAATAGTTCCAGCAGATTGCGGCCAACGTTGCTCGATGCAAATGGCAATGAGGATATGCGTAACTTTTAGCACATCTGAATGTGCTCAGCGAAGTGTTTCCCAGCTACACTTAAGATACCAAAGAATAAATAACACCAGGGAAGGTCCAATTGCTAATTAAACACACTTGATAGTGATTATGATGGAGTGGAGAAGTGAACTAGTGCGGCGATCTACCAATAAACCGACTGCGTAGTTGTTAGCGTGTGTGCACCCAGCTAGCTTTCGAGCTATCTAGCCACCCACAGTGACTTTTTCCATCTCGTGCCGCTATCCTCGTTAGCTTGTTGCTAAAATTAGCTAGCTCGGGCTAGCACTGACGAGAGGCTTACACAAATGTGCACAACTTACCACATCCGATATTGCTCTGCCTGGTCTGTAGTATTAAAAAAAAAACGGTCTGTAGAAAAGAAAACGTCCGAACAAACCGCGTGACAATTAAACGGCGCTGTTGGGGGCAGTGAGGAAAGTATGTCACAGTAGCGGGCTAAGGGCTCTGCGTGAGTTTTTCCGCTGTACGACTGGCCGCCCGACGCTGGCTTGTTCAAGCGTTCCCCCCCTCACTATTTCAGTAGAAAAGCAAAGCAAAGCAGCAACATGTGCACGTTACGGACGCAACCATCTTACCCTTTCAGAAGCGTTAATGAAACACTTTTGTATGATTTATTTCAAGATTGACATTCGATCATCGTGTATGTTCACTATAAAGGATCATTTTAAATTGATCGAGTTGGGTACTTGACGATAACTGTATCGTAATTGCATTGTTTACCACCATGAATATTTATCCACCCGTGCCCTCAAAATGGTGGTCTAATCCAAAAAGCGCGCAAAGCCTTATGGGATACGTAGGCTCGCTGAGAGTCTGGGTGATGTTGATTTTCTCTGCTGTGCAGTCACTTTCGGTCATTGTACACAGTATTTGGATTTATTTGTCGCCTCCCAATCAAAACACCAAATAAAATCGGTAAAGATGATACTACATTTTATTTTTCTTGAAAGGCTTACAGACACAATATATTTTACGATGGGGTAGACGGACACCACAGAAGAGCACATAACATGGTAACATAGAGCCAAAAAAGCCTGAATAAAATGTACATCACTTTTACATTTGTGATAGTAAAATAAGTTGATCTCTTTCTGTCCAACATATAATCAAGATTTTTGGATAACTTTGACAGGGTGTTTTCAAGGGATCAAGGTGTATTTAGAACAAATCTCTATTGCAGTGAAAAGGTTTCATCAGTCTAGTTGGCTGCAAATTTGATCTGCATCTCAAACGGAGTGATACCATTAAAAATGACGAAATTAGGACTGGCAGTGCTTGATTAATTACGTTAAAAGGTGTTTGGACATGAGTAAGATTACAACACACAGCATAACAAGAGTTGGAAAGCCAGTTACAGTAAATGTATTTACATTTTTGCAGGACATCATTCAAATTGTGGTTTGTCATTTCTGTTTTTGTACTTTTCTTCCCATGCTGTGCATTTTCATCAACCTACTTAAAGCGCATTGATTCCAGAATGATGATGTTGTTTAGTGAGCATATAATGCACACATACATATATCCATCCATCTATTTCCGCTTATCCTCACAAGGGTCGCGGGGCGTGGTGGAGCCTATCCCAGCTGTCTTCGGGCAGTAGGTGGGGTACACCCTGAAGTGGTTGCCAGCCAATTGCAGGGCACACATAGACGAACAACTATCCGCACTCAGACTCACACCTAGGGATGATTTAGAGTGTTCCATTAACCTGTCACACGTTTTCGGAATGTGGGAGGAAACCGGAGTACCCGGAGAAAACCCACACAGGCACGGGGAGAACATGCAAACTCCACACAGGAAGGCAGACGCGCTCACCAGTTAACCATCAATCTGCTCGCACGCGTGTGCGTGTGCGTGCGCGCGCGCACACACACACACACACACACACACACACACACACACACACACACACACACAGATCATGCTCTTTACAGCTTCCCTTGTCTATTACTTTTTACTCAACAATAAGACGTTGGTGCTAAACGTACATCAAGAAGTCATCTTGTGGCCACACCAAACAATACAACATCTTTGAAGGGATGATGTGGATGTGCTGTTTTAGTGTGGCAGAATAACGATAAATCCTGATCTACAAGAGAGAAAAAGATTATCCATCCAATCCATTTTCAGGACTCCGATCTGGACTGGTCACTTGCCAATCATGTGAAAATACAATGATTCGTAGCCAATTCCAGTCTGTGACATGTTTTGGATTTGATCATTCCACCTATTTTATAACCCTCTGGCCATCCCAGCTCTGGAGGAAAGTCCAGAACATTCAGTCCCACTCTGTCCACACTCTTGTTCTCCTGCAGCTTGGACTGAGGCTTGAGAAGGTGGGGAGGGTGGAGGATAGGAAGCAGGAGGGATAGCAAGGCGAGGGAGAGACGGCAGCGCGGGCCTGGGAGAGGTGGGAAGAGGCGGCGGTGTGGCCAAGGTTTCCGAAGAGGTGTGATGTGAGGTGCGGGCCCGAGCGGTGGCAGGCGAGGTGTGTGTGCTGCGGATGCGTAGTGGTTCAGGAGGGCAGTCGCTGATTTGCTCCAACAACGAGGGCATGTCTCCTTCAATCTTCTCCAGCACTGCCACCATTTGCTTCTCAATCTGTTCAATCACGCTGTCCATTTGCCAGTCGCTTGTGGTACTGCTGCTCACTGTTCCGTGATGTAACCCAGTCCCATACATCCCCACACTTCTTCCACTTGCATACAAGGTGCTATATGGACTCCCATAGGGCCCTGCCATCCCCATACCTACGGTCCCAATGTCTCTATTGTACGGTGTGGCGTGCCGGCCCAAACTAGCAGAGCTGCCAATTGCGTAGCAACCGTGGCCTGCTGCAGGACTTTCTCTGGCAATATTAAACTCCGCACTATATCGGTCTGTTTTCTTGGCGTCCCTGTCCCTCCTCAACATGGGACTTGCTTCACCCCTTAAACGAACACCTTGACCCACATCTGCCCCAGCTCCCGGCACAATTGCCGTAGTGGCTGATGTTCCCACTGAACTCTCTGCCACCGCCTCTGGCAGTTGTGTCTGACACCAGCTGCTGTCATTTCCACCCTTCTGTGTGGCGTTAGCCGAGGCTGTGGGTGGAAGGCCATGAAGTGTTGCAGTCATTTTACGCTTGCTGCTGGGATCAGGAGAGGTGCATATCAGTTTCTTGTCAAGATGAGGCCCTAAATTATTGTCTGTCAGGCTGGTGTGTTCCGTGGTTGTTGTGGGTGTTATTTTAGATGCTATGTTTTCATCCAAATTGGCGGCTGTTTTCTTGCTTTGACCATCCTGCACTTTCTTTGTTATCTTATCACAGGATGGGGATGCTCCAACTTCAAGATGCACCTCTACCGCCTGCTGTTTTTTAACTTCCTGTAGGTCCGGTGGCCTATTTTCAACCATAACCTCTAAAGGCACACCACTTGTTATCCCCTCGCTCTGTGTGATCCTGCCACCCTCCTCATCACTTGTAAACTCGGACAGCCCTCCTTTTACTTCCCCTGCATCTTCCCCACGCTGCACCTCAGCTGAACTGTCAATAACTGACTCAGAGTTCTTCAGACGTTGCATAAAGGTGGTGACACGGATCGCTTTCTGCAAGACAGGGATTAAAAAAAAAGAAAAAAAAAGAATAGAACAGAAGTGTTACTTACATACAGTATGGGTCCATTAATTCCTCTGTCCCTACAATACATTCAAGCGTTGGTGCAATTCTTATTGGTATTATTAGACAAAGCTCATAACTAAGCGCTCTAATGTGATTCTCTTGAAGTGAATTGTGCATGTGTTTACTTCCAGTTGGATTGAATACAATTCGCCCTGGTGTGAATCAGTCTCAAGACCCCATCTTCCCATGTTCCTTCTTGCTTTCTTGATACTTTTAATTCAGCTTTCCACTCCCTCGACTGTAAACACTGAAGGAATTGGGGAAAATGTGGCTTCTTAGAAGATGTTTCAAGACCAGGGAACGGATTATCTGGAAGTGTCAAACTACTGTAACACAGAAATGGTGTTCAGATGGTAAAGCAGCTTCTAGTTAACTAGCGCAATCGTAACATTGAGGTGCAATGTGGATTTTGATACGAGGAATGACAGGGGTCCTTGTACATTGAATCATTACATTTAAATGGTCCACAGTGGTGCCACCGGATCCTTTCCATTTTACTCCCTCCTTATCTACACCAACATAACGACACAATTCTCCCAACATCTCCATTGCTGATCATGATCTTGCAGTATTTGTAAAACTAAACTCGTTTAATTGACGAGTGCAGATGAGGAGTAGGAAAGGAGCAGAGCCAACCACTTTGCACTTTTGACTGTGAAAAGGAAAAGTGGGACAGTGGATCTCCTCTGGGACAGGCAGAGTGAAAGTGCATGGACAAAGCTCGTGAGAAGACCTTCACCAGTCAAAATATGATCAACACACCTCATGGCTGACTGCTTTTTTTCTTCACATTTAGTTCTTTTGGACTATTTAGCCATAAAACAATCAATTCAAATGCAGTTCCAGCCACAGAGAGATGCTTTTTCATGCCAGACTGAATGTGCAGTTCCACCCACGCTCTGTCATTCCATTCTCTATCATAATGATCTACAATACCTTTAACTCCTGGGAATTATATGGGGAAAGAGAGAAGAGGTTTATGGGTGTTACTTGTACTCTTAGGTCAGCAATACCATTGTCATATTCCCCCGCTCTCTCCTTGATATTAACATTTGACATGGTCACATTGTGATACAGTATCTATTAATTATGATGTACACTTTCTCGAGCGATGCACTGAAACCAATATAACTATTGGTGCTAATATAGTATGTATTCAAATTTACGCTCTAAAGAAAAATGCTCTGATGCTTTGATAACATTACCACTTTACGAGCTTGACCTATAACTTTTGGGCTGATGATCGTATGTCAACTTATCATATGACGATACTTCAAAGTTGTGATGGGTAAATGAAGCTTCATGAAGCACTTGTGACATATTTCTCCTCCTCTAGATGGTGCTCTTGGTTGAAACAATAAAGCTAGTGCAGTGGACATTCAATTTCCACTGCATCTTTAGAGCAAGCGTGCCATCTAGAGGATTCCAAAATTACACAAGTGCTTCATGAAGCTTCATTTGTCCATCGCTACTTCAAAGTAAATGAAAGATAATACTTTGATAGCTCTCTGCAAATTATACCCTGAAGAAAGGATGAATTCTTCTCGGGTGGCGTCCGATAGGTACCAATGTTTTCGAGCTTTGTTGCCTCTTGCTCCCCTTGCGTCTCAAAGCTTCAAGGCATGGCGATCAAATACATGTCATGGAGTTGTGTGATAAAGTATCCCTTCAGGTACCCTGTCACAGTTTTGTTTTTATAGCTTGTATTCTCAAGAAGTGGTCTTTTACTCTCTTTGTTAAATTTAACACAGAGGTAACCTGGCATCCATTTTCCTACTTGTGTATTTGTCAGACATTACATTCTTTGTCTCTGTAATCCTTTTGCAGAATGCCCCTAACGTTCAGACTGAAACACAACATAAACGAAACTTTTCAGGCTACATTTAAGTATAATGTGTGGCAAGATTGTTAAAAAATGCAATGACAAAAGTTATATTTGAGTGAAACTTATGCCTGGTTCAAGGAAATTTGTGTTTTGAACAATATTTAATTCAAATGAAACATTCTAATCACAACTGCAAGATGTACGTTATTCTAAGTATCGGTACTTGGTATCAGCGAGTACTCATAATGATCTACAATACCTTTAACTCCTGGGAATTATATGGGGAAAGAGAGAAGAGGTTTATGGGTGTTACTTGTACTCTTAGGTCAGCAATACCATTGTCATATTCCCCCGCTCTCTCCTTGATATTAACATTTGACATGGTCACATTGTGATACAGTATCTATTAATTATGATGTACACTTTCTCGAGCGATGCACTGAAACCAATATAACTATTGGTGCTAATATAGTATGTATTCAAATTTACGCTCTAAAGAAAAATGCTCTGATGCTTTGATAACATTACCACTTTACGAGCTTGACCTATAACTTTTGGGCTGATGATCGTATGTCAACTTATCATATGACGATACTTCAAAGTTGTGATGGGTAAATGAAGCTTCATGAAGCACTTGTGACATATTTCTCCTCCTCTAGATGGTGCTCTTGGTTGAAACAATAAAGCTAGTGCAGTGGACATTCAATTTCCACTGCATCTTTAGAGCAAGCGTGCCATCTAGAGGATTCCAAAATTACACAAGTGCTTCATGAAGCTTCATTTGTCCATCGCTACTTCAAAGTAAATGAAAGATAATACTTTGATAGCTCTCTGCAAATTATACCCTGAAGAAAGGATGAATTCTTCTCGGGTGGCGTCCGATAGGTACCAATGTTTTCGAGCTTTGTTGCCTCTTGCTCCCCTTGCGTCTCAAAGCTTCAAGGCATGGCGATCAAATACATGTCATGGAGTTGTGTGATAAAGTATCCCTTCAGGTACCCTGTCACAGTTTTGTTTTTATAGCTTGTATTCTCAAGAAGTGGTCTTTTACTCTCTTTGTTAAATTTAACACAGAGGTAACCTGGCATCCATTTTCCTACTTGTGTATTTGTCAGACATTACATTCTTTGTCTCTGTAATCCTTTTGCAGAATGCCCCTAACGTTCAGACTGAAACACAACATAAACGAAACTTTTCAGGCTACATTTAAGTATAATGTGTGGCAAGATTGTTAAAAAATGCAATGACAAAAGTTATATTTGAGTGAAACTTATGCCTGGTTCAAGGAAATTTGTGTTTTGAACAATATTTAATTCAAATGAAACATTCTAATCACAACTGCAAGATGTACGTTATTCTAAGTATCGGTACTTGGTATCAGCGAGTACTCAAGTGTAAGTACTTTTACTCTTACTCGGTCTGAAAATACGTGGTGTCAGTGCATCTTGACTATTTTTAAACATCATTCCAAATAATTCATACTACTTATACTCTGGATACCTCCAGCCTTCCCCTTCCGACTACTTTCTCTCTGAAGCTTAATTTTATGTTAAGAGATGGCGAGTGAGGTTGGCTTCCTACCCGCCATTTGGCCTTTGCAAAGTTCTTCTCAAATTGGGCACAGACGCCATCCTTAAGGTTCTTCTCAGATGCACCGTTACCTGCAATCCTGACAAAAGCAGCACTCGAAATGTGAGACCGTGTACTGTGTCGAAATACTTTTGTGACAATGCGGCAATGTGAACACTTAATACCATTCATGCCAAAGCGCATCTTGTGCTGTGATTCTCAGCATCTGGTCCACCTCCATGAGTCGACAGACGAGCTCCTTAGCTGAAAGAGTTGATGCAACCAAGCTTAACAGCAATGAGGATATGGGGAGGAAATTATTTAGTTGACCAATAAACCGATACAAATCTGAGCAGTTAGTATGACTATGCTGTATTTTATACTTTTCTCATATGCAACGTGTTAGTTTGTTGATTTGTTATCACTGACTCAGGGACATGCACAATAATTGTACCTGTTTTTAATGTTTTTAACTTGTACAAATGGCAATGAACTCTATTCCATTCTACTGTGGTTTAATTAGCATCTGTGAGAGTTAACACTTGTGTCCCTGGCTTCAAATTCTGAAGAGCATCATTCATACTTCTTTCTTTTCCACAGTACATGCTACTAAAAGCAGATCACTAGCAAACTATAGAACCCTTAATGGTTTAACTTTAACTTGTTCTGACATCCATACATCGATTTTCTGTACTGCTTATTCTTGTTAGACTCTTGATTATTGTTATTATATAAGTGATCGACTTATCTTTAAGCTTGTTTTATTTGAACAAATGCATCTGCTGTTCATATTTTCCCTCCATTTGTTATGTACCCTCTAATTCCATTTTTTATTTGTATTAGTCCTGTCACTCCTTTTATTGTTTGATCATTACTGAGCGGACCTAAGGGTTTATACACTTCATCTTGCCTTGCATGCATGAAAATTCTAATTTTATGTTCATATATTAAATGTCAAACTTCCTGTAATACTTTTATGTGCGTGTACATGGTTTTATTTTAATCTGACAAGGTTGGGATAATATCGATCTAAGTGAGAAACCCGGTCACTGTGTGATATTAAATTCAATCTCTTTGAAGATATTTGTTGCCATCGTGTGGCGAAAGCATGTACCTGCAGGGGAAATGTCATCCCAGTACGGAGAATCAAACTCAAAATCACCAGCAACAATTCGACAGAAAATGATGCGATTATGTAGATCTGTGTTTTCCTCTTCTGTCTCATCATAAAAAGGAGGGTTACCTGATAATCTGAAAAACAAAAACAAAACCATATTTGTGATCTGCTATAGAAAAAGTTGCAATTGTTAAATTTGTACAAATTATGAAGACTTACAGTATGAACATAATGACACCCACAGCCCAGCAGTCCACAGGTCGGCCATATCGATGACGAGCGACTACTTCAGGTGCTGAGGGGACGGGACAAATGTTTGATCGAAATGAAACTAATAGGTGGTAATCCTAATATTGTCATATCTTGTTCATAATTCTACCCAGCACATGGTTTCACTGTTCATTTTAATTTACTTTAAAGGTAGGACTGCTCGTCCATTCCCCTTGTTATAGGTCTAGAAGTCTGAAAATTATGAATAGGAATAAAGTGTAAAGTAAAGTACGTGTGTAGAAAATTGAACAAAGTGTAAAATTAAACAATTGCAAAAATGTGCTGTGGGAAGTCCAATAGAAATAACACGAGCTAAGCATGTCAACGTGATTGGACAAATCCCATTGATTATTTCTAGTAAATGGTCAAATCTTACCCAAGTATTCTGGTGTGCCACAGGGTTCTGTGATGGGCCCATTCTCAAATCTTGACAGATAGAAATCTCGCAAAACTACTTTGTTGTGGTTGTTTTCTGTGTAGTACATGAGGTTTTCCAGCTATGTGACATGGGAGACAAATTATTTCACATATTTCGAACAAAATAGAACATGAGGAGTATTAGAACAAGAACACGAGACATAAATACTGAATGTGGAAATCAGAGATTGTCTGAACTGTGAAATATACACGACACCTGATTGTTGTTTTAGAGGTCAGCACATTTTCTCTTTTTACTTTAATGTAAAAAAAAGGCCTTTTGAAAAGGTCTTTTTCATCCGGCCACTTTTTGCAGTTATATGCCTTTTAGTGAAGCCTCTTATAAGAAAAAAATGTCTCAAACTGTTAATTGCTGAGGCAATATACAACGACAATGTCTTCAACAGATGCAATTGTGACTGATAATGATGCTGAATGCTGAAATGTTATGAATCAAGCCGACCGCATTAAAATTCTAACTGTCATTATTTACTTTAATCTTCAAATTTAAAGATCACGTGTTGTGTACCAACCTCTTAAACAATCTAACAATATAAATACAAATATATAATTAAATCATAAATACGATGTAACTGGGCTGTACCAACTGTGCAGTTTGTTAAATTGAGTGAATAAAGAAGGAGGCTACAAAACAATTGTTAGTTATTGCACACCTACTTTAACAATGAGGGGTAAAAGACCCGGTTGAGATCATCATGTATTTAACTTTCTATCATTCAATAAGTCAATTCCACATACAGTGCAGCCGAAAAGAAAATTCCACCTTCTACCACCAGAGGACATTTGAGGGCAAATGGGCACTGATGGGTTGATCACGAAGGCCAAAGCTACTAGTGAGAAATGGCAGAACGTGAGAGTACCTTCAGGTTCCTGTGGACAATGTTGAGAGAGTGCAAGTATGCCACAGCCTCCAGCACCTGTCTGATGACGTTGGAGGCATCTCTCTCTGTGTAATTGCCTTGGTCCTGAATCCAGTCAAAGACATCTCCTCCTGTGGCCCTGTTGCGAAAACGCACATGCACAAACATGAGCAGAAACCCAAGTTGCTGCTGCCAGCCACATGTTGTAATGCCTTAAATCGCTTTTAACGCAGTTCGCTCCTTATGTCTATTAGTAAGACAATCTGCTTCCACAGGCCCTAAAATACCACTATGAGCAATTAAAATATTACTTATCTTTGGCAAGAATATAAATGATAGGTGAGGCAGTTGTGGCTTGCCCAAAGCAGGATGAGTGCCTGTAAAGCCTGAAAGCGCGACTGCAATAACCTAATTTGTCCGTCGGAATTCTCCTAACCCAACCAACCCATCTGCAGTTATTGCGTGACAAGAAGTTGCAAACACACGCTTGGCTGGCTGGATATCGATCCTCGTAAGGTAAAGCATCGCCTCAGGGGCTACGAGTATAGTGTCGAGTGTTAGAGAAAGCAAATATCTCAACAAATCGCACACATCTTTCAGCGGTGGAGGACTACACCAGAGCACGCAGTAAAAACAGCATATGCTCTGCCTGGCCCCTTGAGCTGACGGATTTCTGGGTACTGCATTGTTCACCGACCATTTACATGCATCGAGATTCAGGTAAGATACCATACATGAAAAGCAAGACACTCACAGTTCCTGGATGATGTAGTATTCTTTACGGGTCTCAAATGTATCTATGAGTTGAAGGATGTTTGGGTGGTTGACCCTAGAAAAGCGTCAAATGAGTCAGATTAATAGAATGATGTCAACCCGTCCGTCATAAGAATACTGTATCGGTAGAGGGAGTTGATTAGGCAGTGTTGTTTCCCAAGCAACATATTGTACAAATAAAAATCCAATGAGAAGTATAAATGCTGAAAGAATAATTGTCTGTATTTACTTACAAGTTTACACTAAGGGTGTGGAATCTGGGTTTGTCCAGTTCAACACAAATTGGTAAATTGGACCTTCTCCCATCTACTAGAAGAGGATGGATACGTTCAAATTCCCAAGTGAAATTGGACACGAAATGAGGTCTTATGACACCTGAATGTGCTGGGGGACAGTCGTTGGGAATCGCGAATGTCATGCACAATTTATTTATCATTACAAGAAGAATTAATGTAGACCAGGGGTCACCAACGTGGTGCCCGTGAGGACCACACCAATAGCCCGCCAGTGCTAGGATTGTGATTTGCTAGTTGAAATTATGATTTAAAAATGCAAACACGGGCAGTATTATGAGACATCTTTAAGATGATCAGAGCCTGAAAATTAAAATCATTAAGTATTAAAAATAACACATGCTAATATTATTAAATGTAATTTGTACAAATGTTATTTCAGATGTGTATCAATTTGGTAGCCCTTCACACAATCAGGACACATGAAGTAGCTCTCACTCTCAAAAAGGTTGGTGACCCCTGATGTAGACCATCATGAAAATCTCAAATTTGCTTTTTCTGCTCCAACAACTTCTCACTCATACATCCTTCTGTCCACACACGGACTGCGTACAATTTCAGGATCATGATCTCATTCTTGGCGGCCTTGCGGACTTTCCTGCCATCTTTCTTGAGAAACTTCTTGCAGACAAAGACTTTGTTGGTTTGTCTGTCCCTAGCCAGGCACAGCTCACAGAACTCCTTTCTATGTCACATGAAAGAGACAGGAAGAAAAACAAGTGCATTGACAGTATTAGTTGAACCAAGCTTTAGAATCCTACCACATTTATTTCACTGACCCAGAACAAAAGATATCATTTTAATGTGACAAAAAAAAAAACGGGAATTATAAAGGTTTAAAATAAACTGAGAAGCAGTAGTATGCAAAATTAAAGAAAAAAAAAGTGAACATTTCTTTTATAGTTTATAAAGGCAGTAAAGGAAATCGTGTTCAGGTGTTCATTTGTTAAATGGGAAGCTCATATTGTTAAATATTCTTGAAAAAAAACAAGAGAACAATTACAGTGCAGATATTCTTTTCCCCACGTGATGAAGTGCACTTAAGTTTGGCCTTCTATGTGTTATATAAAAGATCCGCACAAATCTCTGAGGCCAGATGCTGACGTTGCCATATGGCCATGCGTGCGTGCGTGTGTGTGTGTGTGTGTGTGTGTGTGTGTGTGTGTGTGTGTGTGTGTGTGTGTGTGTGTGTGTGTGTGTGTGTGCGCGCGCGCACGTGTGAGCGAGCATGTGTGTTGCTGCAATAGGTTTTCAGTAGGGCGAAAAGCAGCAGCGATTTTCACGCCACAACCATGAGCAAAATTAAACGGCTGGTTGGCCACCTTTGAAAAGTGACCATTAATAAAAATTTTCATAGCGCTAGCTGCAGCCTTTGTATGACCAACTTCAGTCCTGAAAAAAAAATGATTGGATTCTCAAGCCCCCCAAAAATTGGAGCTCCTGACACAATTCCTTTGTATGCATACTGTTTATATGAATGGGAATGTCAATGAATGAAACATTGCAGAAAAGGAACGAGTCAAAACACATTACACAAAGATTTATAGTACTTACGCTCGGAGGACATGGCCAATTTCATATTTGTCTGTCACATCAGATATGCTATCATAAGTCTGCCCATCTCGCAGCGCAAGGCACCCAAATGGCATGACGGCATTCACCTATCAAACACACAAAGCACACACAAATACATGGAGGAAATCACAAATGATTTGGCCAATCATTTCAATGCTGCTCGGTATTCTCTTTCTCCGTTTTTCGTGGAAGTAGTTTGCTTGTGTTTATTAATACTCTCCGTTTTGGTATTTTCACGATTGGGTCATCTTGTCCTTTGTTGACAAGGTATTTTTGTTGATTTTTCCCTTCCCTTTTGCAAGCACTTTTGGTTTCTTTTGTTTTCTCCTGGTGTGCCTATCAGCGTCATTATTTGTACTTTGTTGGCTTTGCGCCATTTTTGCTGTAAAATAAATATTTTTGTATACCTTTGTGCGAGTCAATGTTTATTGAGTCCAATTCTGTTACGGAACCATTACATATTCACTCGGTTGGTTATTTGCGACATCGATGAAGTTCAAATGAAGCTTTATAAAGGTCAATGTCTATTTGCGCCTGGAGCGGCCGGGGAAATGACTGCAGTTGAAAAGAAGGTTAAATTCATCTGTGTATTCATGCTAAAAGCTAATTTCCTTTCAAGTCTATCAGGTTGGAGGAATTTTTAGTTGACTTTTCACTCCTCCCATGATATGCAGTACACACACACACACACACACACACACACACACACACACACACACACACACACACACACACACACACACACACACACACACACACACACAAATGCAAACACTAACAGACTATTTATCTAGTCCATTTTAAAATAAGTGTGCCCGAACATCCAGGTAAGAGATGTGGTGAATCAGCAATCAATACAGTTGAAACCTCTCCCAGTCCTTCACCTACCCACGTCCGAGACGCTCTGTGGAATCTAACGCCAAGTCTTCTACTGCATGCTCCTATTCTACTGCAGCCTTCCAGCATTTACCAGATGTACAGTTAGGCCCATAAATATTGGCAAATGGACACATTACTTTCATTTTTGCCTTTGAAACGCCGCCACAATGGATTTTAAATGAAAGGAGCAAGATACGGTTTAACTGCCGCTTTGCTCGTATTTACATCCAAATCAGGTGAACGGCGTAGGAATCACAGCACTTTGTATCTACTTGTATGGCGGCCACTTTTTAAGGGGCCAAAAGTAATGCGCAAATTCAGTTCAGCAAGTGAAATGTGCCCTCAAGAGAATTCAGGTTGGGTGATTGACTTGGTCATTGCACAACATTTCTGCCTCTTATTACTTTCACAGTATTGCTTCGGGTCACTGTCCATCTGCACTGTGAGGCGCCGGCCAATGAGTTGTGAAGCATCTGTCTGAATATGAGCAGAAAATATTGCCCGAAACACTTTAGAATTTATCCTGCTGCTTTTGTCAACAGTCACATGACCGATAAAAACAAGGGAACCAGTTCTTTTTGGCAGCCATACATGCCCACCTGGCCGTGGCTCATCGGAGCAGCCAATTGTCCCATAACTTTTGGTCTCTTTAAAAGCAGGAAGCACAAATACAGGCTGTTGTAATGCCTTCCTTGTTCATCCGATTTTGATGTAAATCCCCTCAAATTAAAGATGAAGGTCTGCAGTTGAAGCACCCCTTGTTCCTGTCGTTTCAAATCTGTCATTCAGAGCCCAAAAAATAACAATTGTGTCAATATTCCTATTTGTGGATTTGACTACTTTGTTACTGTACTTATATACTCTTGACTTTTCAGGTAAGTGGATCGTTCAAACCATTTTATCAGAATCTGTCTGAAAATGAATCCATAAAACTGACCAAGTAAAAGCGATGGGATCACTTTCGAGAGAGCATTGATGAACTGAGGTTATTAAGTCAACTAATAAGGCTGCAAGGACTTCAGAAGTGGAGTTTTGAAGATTAGCCAACAGAGGAAGACAAGAACAGATAACAAATGGAGAACGGTTAGAACAGAAAACAATGCAAATCCTCAGCGGTAATGACATTTTGAGAGTGCTAATTTAGGATTATGGAACAAATATCAGTGCAATGATGTAAACCTCAACCCCTTCTGTCTGGATGGACCAATCAGCATTGCAGATGATCAGGCGAGAGGCGCTTCAGGATAGGCGGGACTTGTGAGAATTGTGTACGGTAATCCCGCTGGTGGCCCTAATCTCTAATCTGTATCTCTAATCCAGAGCACTGGGATACACTATGGGCGTATGTGCATCCGTGAAATTGTCGGTTTGAGCGAAGTACAAAGTTCGCCGCAGATATGTCACATGTGCTGATCAGAGTTTGACTTGGATGATGAATGTTTGCGTGCGCATGCGTGGCCGTCTGTGCGCTGTGGTAATTCAGTGCAGGCAGAGGGGAAATGAGCGATGGATTGAAAAAGGCAGAGCCTTGCGAGAAGATTATGCAAGTGTTGCAACAGTTTCCATGGTGGTGAAAGTCAGGCTTGATGTGAATACAGTTCAATGAACAAACAAAAGGGTCCGGATTGAAATATGGCCATGCCTGTTTTGCACCAAGGAAAATTTGTGTGTAGAGCACAATTCAACCATTCAAAGTGCTGTAAAACTTCATCATAATACAAGAAGGCAAATCAAATCATTCCATCAACAAAGTTGCAAATGAAATGCACTTTTTATTCTATTGTCCCGTGCATCATAAAAATGGCAGACTGTCCTGGTTTGTTCATGCCAGGTTAAGAAGGACTCCAATTTTTGTTTACGCACAAACTGCTTCATCTTGCACAATTAGTTTTGAAAGCCTTTCACTGACTTATGAGGACACTATACTTGACTAAAGTTGCTGTTTGATAAGGAGTGTATGTTCGATAAATTCAGCTCTGGCCTTCCTGTGTGGGGTTTGCATGTTCTACCGGTGCCTGCATGGGTTTTCTCCGGGTTCTCCGGTTTTCTCCCACATTCCAAAAACATCCATGGCAGGCTGATTGAACACTCTAAATTGTCCCTAGGTGTGAGTGTGAGTGTGAGTGTGAGTGCGGTGGTTGTTTGTCTATGTGTGCCCTATGATTGGCTGGCAACCAGTTCAGGGTGTGTCCCCCGCCTACTGCCTGAAAACAGCTGGGATGGGCTCCAGCACACCCCCTGACCCTTGTGAGGATAAGCGGATCAGAAAATGGATGAATGGATGGATACACGCATGTCTGTTTTTTTTTTTTTTTTAATTGAACCAATGTATATCACGGTTTCTTAATAAATTTCATACTCACGCATAAAAGATCTAGGCTTCAAAAACAAAGGGTTTGAACAATCCAAATATATAAAAAATATAAATACTGTATGTAAAAATAATAATCAGAATAATAAAAAATACTACGGCTATAGTGGTTAGCGCATTGACCTCACAGTGCAGAGATACTGCGCTCAATTCCAGCTCTGGCCTCCCTGTGTGGAGTTTGGATGTTCTTGGCTGGGATAGGCTACAGCACCCCCCGCGACTCTTGTGAGGATAAGCGGATCGGAAAATGGAAGGATGGATGGATAAAAAATATTTAGCGATGTCTGCCATGTAGGGATGAATGTGATATTCCAATTTAAAACTATACACTGCATATTCATGGATATTCGCAAATCGGCATACAATTGACACTCACTAAAATGCATTTGAAAATAAAAACCTTTTTTGTGAACCCTCAAAATTCTTTGAAAAACACTAATGAACCTCCACTCAGCATTTTCCACTAAAAAATGGCCTTCACAAAAAAAAAAAGAAAAAAAGAAACAGAGATTAAAATAAAACCCAACCATAGATGAGGCACTAAGTCTCTAACTATTTGTCCATGAAAAGCACAATTGGAGGAGGAGGAGGAGTCACTTTGCATACACATATGTGATCACTGTTAATAACTAGCGCTGTCATGTTAGAGAATATTTTGTCTGGATCTCACGCCTCAAGTGGACCCACATCATCATATCTAGCAGCATGTAAGATTTAAAACATCAACTCGGATTTTGGAACAAATGCAATGATTAGCTGAGATATTGAACAAGGCGTCAATGCCTGCCAGTGTCGGTGCAACCTAAAATGACTATTCTTTTTTTTCAAATTTTTCTTTATTTTCAATGCTTCTTTATTTATGGGCCAATTTCCAAGAAGATGTGATGGTTAGCTTCTTGAATAGCTCTTTTTCAATTTCAATGTGAAGCTATATCATGTATATATATCCTTTGGGTTTCTTGTGAGGTGAACAGGAGTTATTTTTTCTCTCTCAAGTTACAATGTAACGACGCTGTATAGAAACACTTACATACGGAGTCAGTACAAACCTTCAAGTGGAGGCCGAGTAGGAGGCAAAAAAGGAGGAAGGGAGATGAGAAAAGAGTGGTGAGAAAGATGAAAGATGAGCAAAGAGGTGTGAAAGGATAGGGCTCTGTGACTGGGGTGAACAAATAGAAAATAGTGCAGCGGTGCAAAACAAAACTGCAGTGGCAGATTTGAGCCTTACGTCTTCACGCCTTCACAACTGCGTGTGAATGTTTACAACAGTGAAAGTGATTTTGTGCACATGGGGTGACCATGTGTGTCTCTTTTGCGGGGATGTCCTCAATGTATCTGATCTTTAAGAAATTAAAAATGTCGGCTTATGAGGTTCCACGGTACATTTCGCAGATGAAAGGAAAGCAACATTGCAATGTGTGTTTTTGCATTTGTGCCAAGCAAGGTTCTCTGGCACAGGTTCAAAATAGGTTGCTGTCAAATATTTGAACAGATGAAACTAATTAAATGAAAAACACTTAAATCTTTGTTTGAAGTGAGGATGCTCTAACCATGAATGCTTAATTTTTTCCCCCCCTTTTATGATATGAGGGATAAGAAATGTCAAGCTTGCACATCTCACATGTTTACTTTAGAGTAAAGCTTTGAGAATTGCTGGGAAATATAAAGCAAAAAGTCTCGCCGTTCAATAAAATGTCCCCCGAGTTTCATGCTGCTGAAAAAGGAATTAAATGAAAAAGCAGCGACAGTTCACTAGCACAGTGGTAATTTTACATATGGAGAGAGGACACCGATGTACGTACAAAAGTCGGGTGTGAATGCAGAGCTCTTTGAGAC